ATGCAAATATTTCCATGCTTTTTTTTTATCCAGCTCCTAGTTTGGACAAAGGAAGAGTAAGTATAATTCTAACTAACATTATATTTTTTTACGTATAATTCTAACTAACATTATATTTTTGTGTTTAGTATTTTGATGTTAACCTTTTTTTTTTGTGGCTTTTTGTTGAAAGCAGCCTGATTCAAACTTTTCTTTGAATTCCAATACGACAAGAGTAATTTTGCAAGCTGCTGAAAGATACTCAATGGTGATGCCAAGATGCGCCTCGGAAGAAAGTTATGGTAGATTAGAGTGTCTATCTATTAGAGACTATATAACAACAAATATACCGCATACAGAGAGTGAATATCCCCTACAGCAGGTTAAAAAATTATTACTAATATGACATGTTTTCACATAATCACAATTGATTGTTTGTGTAATTGTTTGTGGCATCTCACAAGCTCTTGTAGCTACTCACTTCATAGCTTCATGCCTGTGCTTGTTCATCCTAAAGGACCATGTTACTACTTCATCTAATAGACTCTCGTGTCAACTTGGTCTTAGGCCCATGTACTTGTTTATCTCATATACTCCATGTTTAACCCACCTGAAGTACCCACAAAATCAATCATACTCATCCACAGAATTCACATTACAAGTCAATAATTTCTTGTTTTTAATGAAAATGTTGCTTGCCAAGTTGCTACCGGCCCACCAAAATGAAAATCTAAACATCCTAATTAGAATAGCTCTTTCTTTTCATTGCTACAACCGGCCCCGGAAAACCCACAGTTAAACAGGCTGGATCGGGAGCCCATTTAAATATTAAAAAAAAAAGTTTAATTAAAAACAATTATTTTATAATTTAAATAAAGATTTTTACAATAAAAATGGGTAAAAAAATACATATGAATTTTAATTATAAATAAGATCCGTGAGTAGCGTAAAGGATTTATCCTTCAATTCGTGGTCTGCTGGTTAAACAGGTTAAAAGGATTTCTAAAAAATGTCTCCTCCTCTCTCTCTGTCGCCGTCTTCGACAAATTCAACCATGGCCACCAACGACCTCGACTTCAATGCAGACAAAGTAAACCTCCCACTTTCTTCTCCCTCTCTCACTAAGGGCCCTTCTGGAACCTTTTAATCCTTATTTTGTTTTTTAGTTCTTGTTTTGATTATGAAGTATTACATTAATCAAACATTTCATTAAAGTTATTTCCTATTATATGGCTTAGGTTTTGTTGGCCAACTTTTGCTTTGTGAAGGCAAACTAAACATTATAACCTTTTTTTGGCGTACTTCATACAACTCTCTGTTATAGAATAGCACGTTAGAATTTGTAAAAACAGGAAGTTGTATGAACTATGATAAAAAGAGGTTATGTTATACCAAAACCTCAAGGATGATGGTGTCATTGCCTCCGGAGAGCTTTTCATACAAAAAGGGCTCAGCCTTTGGACAACGGCTGAGCCATTTGATGGCAGAGGCTTCAATCGTGTTTTGTACTTTTGGGCTGAGAATGATTTGGATTTTGGTCAGCAATGGAATTGGCATGGTAATTGGTAATTTAGCAGTTGGACCAAAATAGACTTTTCTATTTTAATTTTATTATTGCTTTCTTAATCTTTATTCTTGAATGCTTTTAATAATTATTCTTGGTAGTAGATACCAAAGTCAAATATTATATGCAAATATTTTTATACGTATTAAATTTAAATTTAGATATGGACAATTATTTTAGGGTTTGAATGTATAACATGTTTTTTTTTTTAAATATGAACAAAATTTTTTAGGACCAGTTTACATTTGAATTTAATATTTGATAAAAAGAAATGGGTAACGGAAATGGGAAATGAGAATTGGCAATATAGTAATATTTAGCCTTGTACAGTAAAAATAATAAACTTTTGAGAACTTACCTCTAGTTTCCTGATCTTCAAATTTCTTTTCCATATAATTGTTTTGAACCCCAAAGCTGTTGTTGTTGAACTGTTCTTGAAGCCGTCTTGAATACTGCACCCTTACCCATGCACTGTATATTTCGCTATGACTTGCATTGTATATAACGTGTCTTCCTGCTTGTTGTAAATAATTCAGTTTATGATGTATGTTAGGAGCTTTTATTTATGCATGGTTAAATTTAATTTTTTACTTTTAGATTCGTGTAAGAAGACATGCAATGAATGCAAAAACAATGGGTTTAGTGGACCATCTATGTCTATGTTTTGACGATCAAGTCTTATTTCAGGTTCTTCTAATATGCTAAGGGCTGCTTTTGAAGCATGTAGAGTTGATTAATGCACTTGATATTCTTTTTATGAAAAAAGTGCCATTTTGTTTACCAAAGAAGCAGCTTGCTCGACTTTCAGTGCTTTCTCATCATATTTCTTTTGGTATATGTGCTTATGTATATACTAAGTTGCACTGTATATTTCCCTATGACTTGCATTGTATATTTCACAGGATATTATCTCGGCGAAGACATATTATTATTATTTTGTATTAAGTACTTTGATAAATGTATTGAAGATATTGTAATGGACATGTATGTGATGAATGAAAGTATGTATGTTTGGGCAGGTTCTGTGTAAAATAATTTATTATGTTGTTAGCATGATGTTATTATTCTTTAGTTTTTACAAAAAAAGATCGTGACAAGCAACACTAACATAGGCCTCAAAAACACAAACCGCACCAAGAGCACATAAACCCCAAAGTGTAAATATATAATCGATTATTATTACAGCTAACGGAACAACATGTACAATATAATCGATTATTACCACTGTTAATCGATTAAATTTTGGATTTTAAGAATTTCCAGCCCCTCATTTCAAATGATTTATTTGTCATCTTAATGTTAGTTGAATTTGACAACATAGATATTAGTCGAATTTAAATGGAAGGTTGATATGTTTTTTGAACTTCTGAAAATGTTCGTTGGGTCTATGCTAGGTTTTTGGTGTCTGTTTTTTTTTTTTGATGAAGCAGCTGCTATTCCATTGCCGGTGCTGAAGTCTTTGCTTGGCCCTTATCTGGTCTTCTTGTCTTCTACTGTTAATGGGTATGTTGAAACATTTTGGTGAAACATCCAGATTTCATCTCAAAAGCAATCTTTATTTATTTTGTACAGAATTATCAATCCTTTTGAATTATTGACTCTTCCCTTCCTTTTCTAATATAGTTGGTAGCTAATGGTAAGACTTCTAATATCTTGCTTAGTATTCTAAATTAAAATGAAATCATTCTTATATTGTGAAGTTAAATAATTTATATGTGGGTTTAGTGAAAATAATATACTTAAATATTACATATAAAATTGATAAATTAATTAATAATTTAATTTTTATTTATATATTTTTTATTTAATTTTTAAAAATAAATAATACAATTTAATATGTGAAATTTTGAAACAAAAACAAAAATATGACACATATGTAAAATTAATTAATAAAATAATTTTTAAAAATAAATAATACAATTTGATATGTAAAATTTTAAAATAGAAACACAACATTGACAAAAAAAGAAACCACTAATCTTCAAAATATTAAAAATTAAAACTAGATTATATAGTAGAATTTTAAATAAACTTGCAGGCAAAGTGAAACATTTAAAATCACTAGATTAAGAAAAAAATAAAAATAAAATAATGATTTGATGTAAATAACTAACTTTAGACTTTGAATTTAAGAGTTAAATAGGTTTATGTCTTTCAAAGCTTGACTTGTTAATTTTTCACCCCCTACTCATGGAATATAAATTTGCTTTATTTTACATGAGAATTGAATGGTTAAATTTTATTTTTATTTAAGCAAACCTAAATTTATTTAAATGTAAATAAAATTCGCTCCTACTTTTCTCCCTTAGCCTCACTTCTTCACTCTTGCTCTCCTTGCCTCCTCTGGCTCTCCCTCTCCCACTCAGTTCCTTTCCCCGCTCAACCCCCTCCTACTCTCACTCCACTCTATTTCTTTTTCTCAACTTCCTACCCCCACCTCCCATAATCTCTACTTTCCTTCTCCACAATTTGTATAAAAATTTAGTTTTTTTAAGTGAATTTAAATTAGTTTAAATAAAAATAGAATTGGATGTCCAGTTTTTGCCTGAACTGGAACAGACCCTTATCCTTATCCATGTTATTTAATGGGATCAAATGCAATTTTTTATAATATTTAGTGGGAATGATTTGTTTGAAATTAATAATAATAAATTAAAAATAATAAATTAAACAAAAAGCATAATTTTTAAAGGAGCAAAAACTTAGTTAAATCAAATATAAAGTTTCACTTGTGTACTTTACGCGTACTGCAGGTCCATATCTAGTTTTGTTTCCAATTTTGTACAAGAAATTGCTAATTCCATAAGAAAAGTAGTTGAACAAAATTTTGTTCCGGAAAGAGATGAGATTTTCAGGTTCTAAACTTTTTTTCCTTCCTGTTTTTCAATAAACAGAGGTTTCATTGTATGACTAATTCCTCTAAAAGATATGGGCTTGAATGGGACAAAAGTAATTTGTAGGATTCAAAAGCTTCTACCCTATTTCTTGACCCAGAGTAGATATCAATAAAAGGAGTTGATTATCATGCTAATGGATCATTCAATATAAAAGTAAACGATACGTAACTGGGACAGTTTCCTGACAAGTACACAACTATTTTTATGTTCCGTTATACAACATAAAATCATAAACTATGTTTCTATTTCTATTTCATGGTCAGACACAGTTCCTAGATGGTGCATCCTTATGTCCTCATTAATCTTAAGTTATTGTTAATTAATTGCGAAATGCATTCATTATACAAACCAACAAACAGATAAAGCTTCCCGGTTGAGGACTGATAATATTAATTAAAAGACTAGATTGAGACCTTTTGACATTAATTGGCTAAGTTTGTTGGACATATAGAACTGTAAAGATGCTGTGCTAAATATGAAATTATACCATGTTATGTTCATTTTGAGAGAGAAAAAAAAAAACCCAGAGAGAATCAGTATCCTAGCAAGATCCCAACAATATGTGCAATTGCAACATCTTCTATATCTACCCTTTTGAGAAAACCAACTCGCTAGAGCTCATGATGGTTCTTTCTTTCATTTTTCATGTTGAGGCCCAAGACAGTGACACGGATACCATGCCAGATTTGTCCCGACCTGTTCATCCAAACAAGGTGGTTGTATTAGTGGCCCTCTCAATATTGTTCACCTTAACTTTTCTCTTACTCGCATATGTAAGATTTCGTAGAAACACTTCTGAACTTTTCCACAGAAGTAACCATCATTTACCAACTTTTCAAGCACTAACTCACACAAGGTCAAGGCTTTCAGGGATAGATAGAGAAGTGATTCAAACACTCCCATTTTTCAGGTTCTCTTCCCATAAGGGATCCAAACAAGGCCTTGAATGCACAGTTTGCCTTTCACAGTTTGAGGACACTGAGATTCTTAGACTGTTGCCAAAGTGCAAACATGCTTTCCACATGAACTGCATTGACAAGTGGCTTGAAAATCACTCTAATTGCCCTCTTTGCAGGAACAATGTTGACCCTTTAGACATCAAGAACTTCACCTATTCATTCAGCTCAAAGTTCCTAAGAATTCCTTCAAATTTATCTGAAGACACAACAAACCTTGAAATCTTTGTTCAGAGGGAACCTTCCCATAGAGGGTCTTCAGTTTCATCAAGATTTAACATTGGAAGCAGGTTTTGGAATTTGGGTAGGAGCAACAAAGAAGAAACTCTCATTGATCAAGAGGTTTGTGCAAATGAGAAACACGTGCACAAGTTCAATCACAAAATTGTGATCTCTGATGTTGTTACAAGGAGTAGGTGGAGTGATCTTAATTCTTCAGACATGTTATTATTGAACAGTGAGATGCTTCATGACATGTCAAGCACAAGATTTCGTGCCTCAAACAGTGAAAAGTTTTGTGAAAGTTCAAGGTTTCTTTCCACTACTTCTTTCAATGAGGATGAAAATTCATTTATGTCAATGAATCCTGCTAAGAAGAGATCTATGTCTGAGATTGCTCATGTTCCAAGGTTCATAGAAATGAACGAGTACAATGGAATGAAAGAAGGTATGGCATCAAGTGAGAACAATGGGAGGGAAGAGAGGCTGAGGAGGATTTGGTTGCCAATTGCTCAACGAACAGTGAAAAGGTTTTCAAGACAAGAAAGAAACTCGAGAGAATTAGATCACAAAAGTATGGCTTTAAATGTTTGAACAGCACAAAACTTTTATGCATTTACTCCTTTTTTTTTTTAAGGGTTGGAGGGTGTTTTCATTGATGATCTATTACTGTTTACTCCAAATTTTATGAATATATAAAGTATTAATTGCTATTATCAATTCTGGAAAGGAAATGGCTTAAATATCTTGGTTGTTCTTTTCAATCGAAGGATTCTAAATCATGGATGTTATAATCATGACCCAACGTAGTTCTCTTTCTCTTCGATGAATCGCACCGAAACTTAGGAGTTTTCGTAGTTCGATTAAATTAAAGTTAATTATATAAAAATGAAAAAAAAAACCTGGTTAAAGTATTGAGTTTCGTTATAAATCATAATTTAATTCAAGTTAATTTCAAGATTTAAAAAAAATACAAGTAAAATATATTTAAAAGTAGTATACAAGGATAAAATACAAAAAATTAACATAAAATTAGTATATTTGTGGTTTGATTTAGTTTCATTCAATTTTAAATATAATAATTGAACTAAACTTTGTTTTAGATCAACTCTTTAATATTCTTCTTTTTATACATAAAGTTTAAATTTCAAATTTTATCTATGAAAAATAAAGCATGTATGATTTGAATTAATCACTCAATAGTTAAGAGGCCTTTTGACCACATAAAATTTGTTCATTATTCCATTGTATTAATAAATGATCAAAACGATTAGAAATAATGATTTTGATATTAGTAATAACAATAGTAATAACATTAATTAATTAATAATCGTAGTGGTTATTAATTAATGACCACGATAACAATATTAATAGTAATAATAGAAGTACAATATAAAGGTTACGGTAATAATAATAATAATAATAATAATAATAATAATAATAATGACAAATGGTTAAAATAACTAAAGAAGAAAATGAAAGTAATGATTATCATAACTTGTTATAACAAAGAATAATAAAAGGAGATAAAAAAATAGAATTAGTCAACACCAAAATTTAAATAATTTTGAAAGAGAAAAAGAAAAATATCTTTTGAAACTATAGTCAAATTCAAAAATCTATTATGCTTGAGGAAAGTATCATCATCATTAATTATGTGATATTAAAATTAACTTTAGAAAATATTTATTTTATTCCAAAAAGAATTACAAAAGAAAAGGTTTATTTACAATAAAAGGCTGTGTTTTTGTTATTTGGGATTGTGAATCAGAGAGTAGAATGTGTTTTTGTTTTTGCACCAGCAAATTAAACTGTACAAGTGGACATAGTAAAAGGCAACCAAATTTGTGGCAAATGCTTCAAAGAGAAACAAAAAATTGATTAATTGAGCAATAGAAGGATTCTCACAACCTCTCATCCTCACCCATGCATGCATGTTTAATCATAAAAGTAGAGCAATGCAACTCCCACAATGACCCAGAGTGTTGTTTGGCTGACACCAATCAAGATCTACCATTATACAATGATCTTCAATTTTCTCCACAACCCTTACTTTCCCTCTTTCTACAGTCTTGAATGGGGGCATTTACCTTTGTTACGAAGATTGGTATGCCATCTTCCTTGTCTTGTGAAGATACCATGACATTTGCAACAGTTAAAACACATGCAAGTCACTGCTTCAAATTCCGTGTCTGAGAAATGACAAATTAAGTATTCTTGAGCTGGTCTGTAGCATTTTTTATATAATAAGAACACAATCAACGTCCAGAAAGCATAAAGGACAACGATGAAATAACACCTGAAGAAGATAGAATACATGCATTAACAATATTTACAAAAACATATAAGGTTAACCAAATTTAGCATTTTAAGTTGAGAAGAATTTTTTTGAAACATTTTTAAAAAGTTAGAGAATAAAAATAAAAAATTAAAGTAAAACGAAATATAAAGTTAAAAACTAATTTACTCATTTTACCTAATAAACATTAAAAAAATGTATTTTAGTTTCTTAAATTGTAAACATCAATCAATTTAATTCCTAATCATACAAAAATTTAAATCTAAGTCTTTACTTTATAAATGACATTTATTTTATTTTATTTTTAACATACAGAATGACAATAAAAAAAATAGAGTACAAAGTATTAAAATGAATATTTAAAAAAAAAATAAAGATAAAAGTGATGTTTCTTAAAATTATGGATTAGTTTATTGATTAATATCAATTGAAGCATTTAGTTCAGAATCAAATTCTAGATAAGTGGTTCACTTACCTATTATTTGGTTGATGAAATTCGGCGTAGTGAAGGAGCATGACCCATATTCGAGGTTGCTACAGGCCTTTCTGGTTTTGTGACATTTTCTGTGGAAACTCTTGGCATGGCAGTCAAAATAGATGAACCTTTATTCACAGTCTGCAATTGTTTTATCCCAATCAAATGAATTACTTCAGCAAAATATAAAGGATCAGTATAGTTAAATTAACACTTATTCTTTTCGATCCTTTTTATAAAAAAATAATAATTAATTCATCAAAACTAATAAAATATAATTAAATGTCATAAATTTATAATATATTCTAAAAATACTTATATTAATAAATAATCAAATCATCCACTCATGTATTAAATTAATTAATATATCCACTAATATAGCTAATGTATGAGTATTTAAATAAAAATATAAAAACTTACTAATTAATATATCTAAAAATGAATTTTAATTTGTTTATAATTAGAACAAAAATAATAGTAATAATTATTTTTTATAAATAAAATGAAAGAAGTATATACAGCAAGTAAAGAGTAACAAGGCATCTTAAAATGTAAAATAGTAATTTGGTAAATGTATTTCACTCCCAAGTTAGTCCTTAAGTAGATTATGTAAGCAATTCAATTCTTAAATTATTCTAATATATTCCATGTTACTTCCCACTTGAGGTTGCAAAATGTGTAATATGAAATGAGTTTAAATAATTTAAGCAATGAAACATGACATTAGTTTGAACCAGGGACTATGACTGAAACACATTTAAAGGAACCAAAATATAAGTTAATTCCTTTTGTTTATGAAAAAATGGATAGAGTAAAGAAAACAACTGTGAAATTTTCATCAGGATGTATACATGTTTCTCTGTTGGAGTCTTGGCATTCTGAGCATTAGATACCATTGTCTTCATCCGAACACGTGAACTATCGACTTTGTTAGATAGTGTTGCCACAGCAATTTGAGAGGAATCATTGACTCCTGAAAAAGAAATTAAGGCATCAAGATGTGTTCTATAGAGAAGCATTCCTTCACAATACTTGGATTAGAGGAAAGAAAATAGAGAACAGAGAAAACACAGATAACAATGAATTTTCTTTTTGTGTAATTGTAGAGAAAATGAAGAGAAAGAAGTTGATTTTAGAAACAAAAATTCAAAATTTTCTTTCCTCCCATTTTCTCTTCAATTCAAATTTCAATTTTTTTCTTTCTTTCTCTAGTTGTGTCTCCTCTTAAAAATAGAGGGGTAAAGCTATCTAAGTTTAGAACTATTACTGCTAAATAAGAATCCATTATCAAACAAAGAAAACCTATGAAAACAGTAAATTGGTAAACAGCTAACCATACTGACCAATAGCTGTAATATTTTAATTTTATTTTGACAGAAAATATCCATTAAAAATAATCCACGCCAAGTATTCATTCAAAATATTTCGTTTTTTTTTTCCTTTTCAGAATGTGCATTAAAATATCACCTCAACTTCCTAACTCATTCTGCTAAGAAATACCAACCTTAGCTTGGAAATCACACAACTTAATACAACACTATTTTTCTTGAAAAAACTTGCCAATTTTAGGAGACTTGATTTTTCAAATACAGGACTGAATTTACCTTTATTATTATTATCCATATCCACTGGTTCAAGGCCGGTAGGTACAGCAACTGGAGGCTGCAATTGCAAAATTAGATATTAAATAAAATCAGTACATATCAAATAATACCTAAGATTAAGATATCAGAAAAGCCATATAACGTTTCACACTCCTGCAAATGGAATTAAGAATGCCATAATTGAAGGTAAAATTTTCAAAAGGTTTCCAAGTTATGATGTAAAAAAAAAAGAATATGTGATCAGAATGGAAGAAGATTAGAACAAATTTAAAGAAAACTTTAGACAACAAAAAGGTGGAGACCGGAGCATGTTTGTTCTCTTTTTAAAAAGAGTTTTCACTTTTTAAAATTAAAAATTAAGTGTATTTTTTGGTTTTAAAAAGGGAAAACTTTTTTTAAAAATGAAAACAAACATACTCTGGATATACTTATATAAGGCAATTCATTCACAATGGCTAGTAAACTAGGCCAAGGAATTACTAACAGTTGATTGACTTTTGGCCTTTTGCAGTTGCATCTGCTGATATTTTAGAATCGTCCAGTCAAATAAATAGTCAGAATCATATCCTGCCAAACAAGAATCATAACACAGATGACACCACCACCAATGCAATATGATGTCCAAAAACACAGTAATGCATAACGATACTGTGTTCTCAAATTCTAACAAGCATTAAGATGTAAATCAAAGAATTCATAATATTTGGACAACCTGCACATTTGATTTTAGGCTTTCGGATAATGAATAAAGAGTGCAAAACAATAAAACCAGCAAAATTAACGAAATGTAAGATGGATTTATACTCAAGTAGGTCTGATCTGCTATGCAATAAGTAATAGTAAATAAAGGTATGCCAAAATAGAGATACTCGGTACAAAATCTAGCAGAGTTCAAGGAAGAAAAATTGAATACTTAATATGAAACTTCTATACATCTTTAGTTAGGGTCTTAGTCGAATCTTTTTTAAAGCTCAACTGTTAAACTTGGACATAATCACTTCTATGTCTTGGACATAATCAATACCCACAACAGTGAAGCTCAAATTCACTATACTTCAACAGTTAATGGCCACTAAGACTAAAAAAATCAACCAACATGCAAATTGACTGAAATCTTCAACAAGCCATGCTTGCATATGATGAAACAAAGAAGGCAATACCTGCACGAGTGAACAAATTGCGAAACAGGCGCTTCAAAAGTCCATAATCTGGCCGTTGATCAAATGTCAGGGAGCGGCAATAATGAAAGTAAGAAGCAAACTCCACAGGATATGACTTGCAAAGAATCTAAAAATATGAAATATATAATCAGTAAACTTCTATGAACATTGATTAACCAAGTGATAGCATTCTATAAAAGCTCATAATTTGATTATGCAGTCAAGGATTCAAGTCTCCAAACCTAAGTCGGGAACTAGCATTTAGAATAAAAATGCAGCATAAAATTGTTCATATGAGTTACAACTAGAGCAACAGAATCATTAAAAGGGGAAAAAATTGAACACACCTCAATAGGAGTTGATAACTTCTTTTTGCAAATTTTGTCATATTTTTGCTCTTTGGTGGCAGCTTGCAGACCCTGCCAAGGAAGGCTAAAAAAGAAAGAATCAAATAGTCAAGCCCTAAATAGTTGGAAAACTTGGGCAATTGACACTCAAAAGCAACATTTTAATGAAATCAAGATGCATCACATTCTGGTTCATCACAATGAGACATACCTTCCTCTTAAAAAGTACATTAAAACATAGCCAAGAGACTCCAAATCATCTCGACGACTTTGTTCTGAAGAAGTGAAATAAAAAAATTGAAGAAAAATTGTATGTATACTTACAATCTATAAAGCATAATGAAGGAAAAAAATTCTTCAGACTTACCAATTCCTCGGTGTGTATTATAACTTGCATAACGTGCAGTCCCTGTTAAGCATTTGTTCTCTCTGGATGAGTTTATCAAGGTAAAAGCAAACATTCAGATACAAAACAATAACCTGCCTAGTTAGATTTAAATTGAAAAAGCACAAGTAACATTGATAATGGATCAATAAAATTAACGAAGAAATAAAAAAAATTGTTTGGTATTTCATAAGAGTACAAGTTGAAAAGCTTCCCAATTATTAGAAACAATATGCATTTACTTTATAAATAAATTACTAAATATATTTTAGCAAAATTACTGCAGGGACAAGTATGATAAGTCTGACGATTATAAGCTTTTACTTATATTGTACAATGAATATGAGAATGTTTTGTTACATGGAGAAAGAAGGGAGTCACTGAGATTAGAAGGTTTTTAATATTTTTAATCCTTTACCTTTAATCCATATCAGACTCAATATGAATGTTCCACGATTACTGGACATTCAATCTAAATAAAGAACACTTTTCCCTGGCATAGTATCTTCTTATACCAAGCCTACCCTAGTACATAAACAGTCTAATTTTCAATACTCTAGTGCTTTTCTAAACCAGTAAACTAATGAAGAAACACAAAGAAACCATTCCACGTAGTTAACATCTTATCATGTAAATGAATCTGTATTTTCACCAAGAGAAATTATCTGCAGCAGAAAGGCTTTTCATCATTTACTGTCTCAAATTAAAATATATAGGTTAAATTAATGATTTAGCCTCTATAGTTTTTATATATTTTTAATCAAGTCCTTGTAATTTAAAAATTTTAAGTTAAATTATTATAATTTTAATTTTTGAATTAAATTTTTAACAATCAAATCGTTATATCTCTATTGAATATCAATGACATGACATTTCTAATTTACTATCTTAATTTTTTTATTTCTAATACTCTTTTTATAATTATTTTTTATTTATAATTTTTTTAAACTCCTAAATCCTAATATTGCTATGTGATAAATTCAACATTAAATTGAGGACATATCTTTCAAACTATATTGACGTCATCCCTAAAAGCTGAAGACTTCTGAAAATTATTTTTACAAAAAGTTTAGGTTTGGGGTTTAATTTATTTCACTGCAAATTCAAGTTTTTAGGCTAACTTGATATAATAAATATTTTATTATAATAAAATAGTAAAAAATAGAATCCAAATGTGTTAGCAATAATTCGATGTTAAAGATATCACCCAATAATAATACGATTTAGAAATTTAAAGTATTTATGAAATATAACTACAAATAACAAATATGAAAAGGATAGATTGTCAAATTATATAAAAATATCATGCTATTGATACTCAATTGCTATATAATAATGTTAATTATTAAAGATTTAATTGAAAAAATTTAAAATTATAAAGACTTAATTAAAATTTTTAAAAAATTATAAAGACTAATAAATTAGTTTAACCAAAGATATAATACGGTGGAATAATAGTTAGCAGATTTGAGAGACCACAAATCCTGACAATATGCACTCCCGCATGGTAAAATATGACTGACAAAGAAAAAGTGATTAGATAAAAATAAAATAATCAAAGAGAAAACTTGTACCTGTAAGGGATATGCTTGTTTGTAATAGGGTCCCTATATCCTTTTGCTAGTCCAAAATCAATCATATAAACCTGCAATTAGGGTAACATATTGCAGCAATTATACATTCAAAATTGGAAGCATTAAAGAGAATTTCAACATTGAAAATTTGTATTAACAGAAGCTAGATATTAAAGAGAATGAAATAGGAATGCTAAAGAAGCTACCTGATTTGCTTTCTTCCCAAGACCCATAAGGAAGTTATCCGGTTTGATGTCTCTGTGCAAATAACCCTTCGAATGCAAATACTCTATCCTTGAAAGCTGTGGTCAATTAAACAAACAGGTGCTAAGCACTACGTTTAATGTGTTTCTATTGATGTGTTTGGAAATCTCCACTGATGGAAGCTTTGTATAAAAAGAGGAAATGTTAAAGAGACAGAACTGTAACAACAGCACACATAAAATATATTGCAAAACAGAGAAAAGCCTGGTTTCATGGAAAATTTATGAAGTGTTTGGTTTGAGAAAAAATTGTTTTTATTTTTAAATTTTACTTTTTTAATTACCTAATTCAAATTGAGACTGTATTCAGGAAAATTGTTTCTTATTTTCAAATATTTATATAGAAAACCGTAAAAATAAGAAACAAAAGAACATTAAGATGACATTTTTGTAAAAAATAACTAGAAAAGAAAAAAAAATTTAAATCAAACCCGTAAGAAATCAGTGCTGAAAATGAATCAACTATTACCAACTGATCAGCCAGCATCAAAACTGTTTTGAGTGAAAATTTGCCCTCACAGAAGAAAAAGAAATCTTCAAGACTGGGTCCCAGAAGTTCAATAACAAGAACATTATTGTCTCCATCAGTACCACACCATTTCATTCTTGGAATGCCACCTTAAAATCCATAACTATGATTAATCAGATTCAATTAACAAAACACATGCACACTGTAGCAAGGGTATTTGGAATCAACACAACTTACTTCCTCCTTGAAGATTATTATATAACTTTGCCTCATACATTAGCTGTGGATGATTGGTTTTCCTGTTCTCCTATAAAACAAGAAATAATGCTGTTATAATTTATAATTCCTGTTCTCCTATCAACCTTTACTTAAATAAACACCAAAATAGAAATCTTAACCATGAAAGTAAAAAAGAATGTCACACAAATATTTCTAGTAAAAATATTACTTCCCAATCACAGTTGCAACGAAGTACAATACTATATCCCCTGTTATGAAAAAATAAAATAGCATAAACCCTTTGCTTTTAGCACTTTTTTTTTTCTTTACTCAATTTGAAGTTACACAATTTCCAGTTACTCGATGAAGTATTCGACTCACCATCTTTATGGCCACAATGTCAGAAGTTTCGATATGTGCCCCTGAAATAAATAAATAAATAATAATAATAGACTCTTAAATTAATCCTCCAAAACATTTAATAATAGGCTAACTTCCTTAAAAAATTCATCACTATTTTAATTGTCTAAATATTCTGTAATTAAACTAGTCTCTTAAAAATTTAATGCGTTACATAATTACCCCTCAATTATCTAAAATAAAATACTTACATATTAATTTGACATCAAAATTTTGAAGAAAAAGGTGAAAAAAAATTAAAAACTAATTTAATGAGTGGAATTTAAAAAATTGAAGATATATTATAATAATAAGGTTCGGACCAATGTGAATTTGTCCGAATGATCCGCTGCCAATTTTTTGACCGATTTGATACTTTCCTCCGACGAGCCTCTCCATGAAAAATAGAACGTTCTGGAAACGATAGAACGATTCTTGAAATGTTCAGTTCTGCATCGTTTTGGAATATATGAAGAAGAGAAGAGAATGGGGTTAGTTTTGGAATTGCAGTTTTCGTTTTGTTTTAAAATGTGTTAACTGTGACATGGACATCACAATTCTCCAGCCAGGGTTGCGTGAATGCGTTGCTTTACTTTTCATGTCATTTCGTGCCCATAAAAACCCCGCCATGTCACTTTCTCCAAAGAATTTTTTTATTTTCTATTATTTTTCCTTTTTATATTCTACCACTAATGCTTTGTTTCAATAAAAAGTAAATAAAATAAAATTTTAAATAAGAAAAAATCAATAATAAATAGTATCAAAATATTTTTTTAATAATTTAAATATTAACTTAAAAATTTTATTACTTTTTGTTTCAACATAAATTTAACTTATAAAATAACATGTTTATTTTTAAAATATATAAATTAGAATTTATTTAAAATAAATCAATTTTAAATATTAAAATAATTTTAAAAAATTATAAGTTAAAAATATCTTATATAAGAAATATAATTAAAATTAGTATATTTCAATAATGATCTAACTCTTCCGACGTTTCTTTCGGTGGAAGTCACGTTTTTAGAACGATAAATACTTTGTTTATATTAATCGATACAATATGTCAAATTGTGTGACGTATTTATTTAAAACCGTTTTATAATCCAATCTCTTACTCATTCGATTGGCCATTTAATTAGATATTCTGACAAATATTCTCAGTCTTGAGCAGATTTTCAAATTTAGTATATTATTATTATTATAGAAATAGTATCTCTTACTTTTTAGCATGTAATAAGAAATCAGTAAATGATAAATTCTTATTAAAAGCTATATTATTAATATATTAAATTTTGTAATATTTTTTCATTTTAATATAAAATATTATATAATTTTTTAATTGTTAGTTTAATGAAAATGAATGTACTTACGTTACTTGATTGTTGTGAGTCCTTAAGGCTAACTTAAAATAATATTTGATCGTAACCCATGCAACACAATTAAGGCTGTCTAATTATTTGGCCCTTCTTTTTATCCACAATTCATTTTACTTTCATTGATAATTTCGAGTAAGTTTTTTAATCTTAAAAGGATTTATATTTGAACTATGCTCCTTTTATTTTATTTTAACGATGACTTTATTTTCTCGTACATCGGTTTCATGCAAGTGTCTATCAAGTATTCTAGAGTATATATATTTTTAGTTTAAATTAATTTGCTAGTTTGTGTATTTTCTTTGTATTTTTAATCATGCTTTTCTCTTGATTTAATTATTTTAATTACAATGACAATAACTAAATTTTATCTCATTATGCAAGATTGACTATATGAACTACACATGATGTTATTAAATTCAATTTAAAACTAAAATTTTAAAAGTATTATTTTATCACCAAATCTCTTTTAATAGTTTATGACAATTAACAAAGAATAATTATAAAGAAGGAATATATCAAAGAGAAGAATATCTTTAAAAAGTTTAAAGATTCAATGACGAGATGAAAAATAAAAAAATTTAAATAAGAATTAAATGGTAACAATTACATTAAAAGCACTATAGAATGTGAAAGAAACTTAAGAATAAGAGTGATCACGATTTAGTTCGGTTTTTATTAAAAATTATATTCTCATTGCATATAAAAATAATTTGTGATTCAGTTCAATTTGAATATAATTTAAAAATTGAACCATAAAATATCAATTTAGTTTAGATTGATTTTTGTAGTTATTCAATTTAGAGTAAATAGTAGCTTAAAAATTAAAATGAATTTATTGAAAAAATAAAAAATGAAAAATTAAAATTAAAATGATAAAATCATAAAAAATTAAATTATAGATAAAAAAAAAGATATTCAACTCATAAAAATGAGAATCTAAAGAAAATAGAACTGGTGCGCTATAAATTCATACAATGTTACAATAAAAATGAGTTAAAAAATTTAATTTCATGTGAAAATATAATATAAAATAATATAAACTTATCATAAATGTAATTTGGTTTGGTTTGATTTTAAGAATAAAAATATAAAATCAAACCACACTATAAATGTATTTTTTTTATTATTATTTTTGGTTTGATCAATTTTTAATTTTATTGCATATTGAATCTAATAATTTGAAAACGATTTACTTCAGTTAGAACCACCCCTACCCAACACTCATCTATTGTGTTCTAAATTGAGAATTATAATAACTAAAGTTAATTTTAACTTATTTTAGCTCTATCATTAGTTTTTATTTTGTATTTTGAGATTCAACTTTATATTTTTTATTTAATAATTAAGTAATTTCTTATTGTCTTAGGTTAGTAAGTTGAACTATATTACTTATAAAACATTTTTTAAATTTTTATATTTTATTATGTTTATAGGTTTGATTATATTTATTATTAAAGTTTTTAGAGTTTTACTTTTTATTATAAATATTCATGTAAATTCTTTTTGAAGGTAAGTTTGATTTTGAATAAAGTGTGAGGAGTTTGAGAAAGCATATATAATTCTTAGCATTTTTGTATAAGACTGTTATCCGTATCTTATCAAAAGTTCCTCACATTTTTGTAACGATTCTATACTAAGTTTATTATTTATTTATTATTAAATTAGGTTTATAACATTTTCTCCTTTTCTTTTCTTTTCTATTGAACTTAAGGCTTGATGTCTTCTTTATCTTCTTTTTTTTCTTTCTTGTTAATTCTCATCAATAATTTTCTTTGAAGTTCTTCTAAATCTCTTTATCTTTTTTTTATCATACTAAGAGTCATAGAATCTATTCTTTTCATTAGTGTCTCTAGTATTATTCTTTATATTTAATCAAATCATCTTAAATGATCATTTCTTTTACTTCACACTTCTATAATTATTTTTCATTATATTATTTTTTAGATGACTAGTTATTCATCTTAATATTCTTATTTGATTTGCTTTTATATTTATAATAACATTTAATTATTCCCTAATATTACTTTTGGTAATTTATAAAATTAATTAATTAGTTTAGATTTACAAAGTTGATCAAATTAAAAACTAGTGAACTAGTGTAGACACTTAAAAGAAGTGTCGAAAGGGGGGAAAAAAGTTCCATTGAGTAGTATATTTGTACATAGCATGCAAATTGTCTCTAAACATGAAGTTTAGATCTAAAGAACTTCTTCATCTCTACCTCTAAGCCATACTCTTTAGACAGCAGAAATGACAATTGGCAAGGAATTAACATATGGTTGACTTAGCGATTTGCATGCGTACCATGCATTATGATGCTTAAGCTTACAAACTATCATACCCAATGAGATTTGGGACTGAAATCCTGAGCATCAATTTATTGTACCTGAGTCTCAGCGTCATTATAATTTGCAATATTTACTTGGAATTGAAGACTAATGATACATGATATAGAATTTGAATCTTGAGAATTGAGAATGATGGAAGCGAGTGGAGTTGAAGGTTGTTGTTATTAATATTGCACAACAGTCTTCAAGCCATGAATATAATGTCTTTTGGAATATTGTTGTACCCTCACTTTGAATTCGCCAACCTCGCGCTTTTGCCAGGGTTTTGAGACCGAAACAAAGTCTACAAGTTGATGGATTAGAGAAAGGAGAATAAGAACCATACCCAATTGAAGATCATCCTTTATCATTTGGAAATATTCGGAAATGAGTGAGGAAAATTGGTGCAAATCGTATAGAAAAACTGAGAGGAGTCCAAGGGAGAATGCAATTAAGAGAACCACAAGGATGATGAAGATAACAACGAGTAGCACGAAGAAAACGAATGAGCCATGAAGAAGGGTAAGGAGAATGAGATCCAAATTTGGGAACATATTTGAATGTGACTTTGATAAAACCAAGGCATGTTATGTTGGTTGTTAAAGGAAAGGGATGAGAAGGTGAATGAAGTAAATTAACTCGCACATATTCTATCCTTGTAATGCCATTTAACAACTTTTGGCCTCTTTGCTTGAACCAAAATTGAGACACAAACTGGGTGCGATTCCATTCCCCATCACAGTATCACAATATGGCTAAAGCTAAAGTCATTACTATATACATACAAGCAAAGCATGAAATATTCCCTCTAGAAAAAATTATTTGTTAATTTGGCTTGGCATTGAAAACTGGCTTCGAACCTGCGCAAATAAAGCCCTTTCGTAACCATCACTATTTTCTTTTTTACCTTTATTTCAACTTTAGTTTACTTAATTTTTGTGTATGCCACATTTTACTATATTAAAATCAACGACCAATGAGTATTTATTGGAGGAAAGGGTTTCTTTCTTCGGACTAATGAAAAAGTTGATACTACTTGTATTCAATTTTTGTTGCATAAAGAACTTTATAAAATAAAATTCAAGTTCAAGAATGATTCCTTACTTGCCGGTGCCTATGCTTTATCAATATAGTTAGTACTATTAATATTTCATTCTTTTAGGATTAAGATATAGGTCTTTTCGCTCACCAACAGTTAATAAGATAGACATAGGCTGTCATGGAATGGAGTTTAGTCTTTCAGAATCAAGAAGTTGTTTTAGCTGTAACTAGTCTTTATATATCTACCACAAAACAAGTTGATGTATAACATAGATGATCATTGTAACCATGGGTTTGGCAACACATTCAGACCTTCTAATGCTGTCCCACACAAGCTTGTACTGCCACCAAATTCAGAAGCAAATCATATGTTAGAAATATCAGCTGCAGCTGCAGGTTGGTGATTCTCTATACATTAGAAATCCTGTTGCAATCTGACCTACCGCCAAGTAGATGAGGCTCAGTTATTGATAATTATACAATTAGTTCTAAGGTATTAAATTTATAAATGGATTTATTAAAGTTTCAGTGACATTCAGTTTTTAACCTTCTTTACATATAATTAGAATCTTGAATTCAAATTTAATTTAAAATATAATTTTTCAAGATAAAAGAATCTCTTTTTTTCTCCATAAAATTGAGGTTTTTCTCA